AATTATAAGCAAATATGAACGAGAACGCAGTGCATTGTGGCAATCTAACCCATGGACCACTTTTTGGAGGTAGTCCTATGACCATGGTCTGTTGAACTCTGATGGAAAATAAATGACTTTTTTTATCGCAAATTATGAGGTGTATCAAGCACCCTTTTAGTAAATGAAAATTTTAAATCTAAGTAAATAATATTTGCCTTCATCACTTTTATTTCTGAATTTTTATCTCTTGTGCTAGCAATTGACATTAATTTTATTTGTGATTTATATTTATTTGCCTTCAAATCTTCTTCAAGTGATGTAATATTATTGTTATTAGAAAATTTTTCGTTTTGTTTGAATACTCTTCATCGTTTGAATATTCTTTATTGAGTATTGGGATCGGGACATATATTATGTAATATCCTGGGGAAGGGTTACTGACAGGATCTTATGTAAATATTACATATAGAGTCACATGTTTTCAAATGACTTACCTGGAGGGAGGGGAGTGAACTCTATAGTAAACCTATATTGTGTAATATATATCACAGCCTTGATCATATCGTTCGGTTTTGATCCAAATAAAAATTAAAATATTTTCCAAGTTGAATCAGAATAACCAGTATCTTGAATTTAATATAATTTTGAAGCTTTATTATTGTTGCATAATTACAAATACAAAAGACATCGGTATTTTCTATCAATTTCAACAATATTAGACACAAAAGTTGTTTTATAAATCCACTGCATAGAGTATCCCTGTGTAAGAAAAGAATTTCATGAATGAACCAACGTGACATTGTATCTGAAATGTGTGGATCTCATAGTTTTCGAGTTGCATTATTTTCATATTTATAATTTTCTACGAAATGTGAATAAGTTAGATTATAAAAATCTTGCTAAGTCTCAAAAATTACTAAGCTAAAAATATCTAGAATTTTCCAAAAAATTTGTTATCAAAATTTGAAACAACAAAAGAACGTGATTTTCACTTAATTATACTAATTCCTGTTAAGTTAAAAAGACTATTTAACAACAAAATAACATAGATCAATATAACAGCAAGTTATTCTTGAATCAGCAAATTAATAACTTTAAAGAAATATACAAATGTAAAATTAATTAAAACATGCTAGCTTAATTGTCAATAAATTATAAATTATAAATTATAAATAATGTAATAATAGTAATAATTGAATTTTTGCGTGAATTCGTAACTTTAGCAAGTTTTTCATATCAAATACAATTGAATTATTTATTACAAGCAAAAACATACTTCAATTAAATAAATAAACAACATTAAAGCTTTATAATTTTTTTTAAAAAAATAATTTTGTCAGAATTATTTGCATTTATCATGGCATCAATATATAATCTAAAAAATTTTTTATACATAAATATTAAAACATCAAATAAATTATATATCAAATAAATATATTTATATAAAAAAATCATTTAGAAAAGTCACAAAAGAAACTAAATTAAAATATGTAAATTGCAATTGAAGCATTAATATTATATATATAATTAAGATTTGTAATATGCAAGATATAATACAATTAAATTATTATCCTTGATTAGTATAGATTAAATAAAGATAAATATTATATAACTCAATATTTATATATTATTGATATAATTTTGATAATATAATGTACAACAGATTTTAGCGAATATTAATATTATTGCTAGTAGTATATGTATTTACAAAAAAAAATAGTTTTATTAAGTATCAATAATTTAATTTTATAATTTAAAATAAAAAAATTATAGTAGCTCATTATACGATTTCTAAATAATTCATAAATTAAATATTTAAAAAATTTACCTAAATAAAATACTTGTAAAAGCTATTTTCAAATTATATTTAATATCAAATTAAATAATTGATAATTAGTTTATTTAAATATTTTATGTGATTTAATAATTTTTTATATTTAACAATAAATATTATATTTTCAATAATCTATAACTTATCTTTGATATTATTTTAAGCGAATTTTTAAAGATAGATTTAATACAAATTATTCAAGCTTTTAAATTTTAAATTATTAGAATAAGAAAATATAATACCTTTTCAAATACATGAACTATTGGACAAAAATTCCATTAGATGATACAAAAATAAATTTAGTAAATATTGTCTCCATTTTCATATATTTAATGAAATAATGCAAATTTTAATTTCATTAATTTTAGAAAAGTAGCTATAATTGACTAAGAACAATATAAAAGACAATAGTTTCTTAAAAATCGAAACCAAATAGAAGAACGATTTAGAACTAGCAATATTTTACAATTCTGAAACAAATTGAATATTAATTTACAAGTAATCAAGTTAAATATTTGATATATATATATATATATTATTATTATTATTATTATTATTTCTTTGTCTCGAAAATATCTCAAATTTTGCAATATATTATGAATTTTTGCTATTTTTATGATTAATTTAATACACATATTAAAAAATTTGATATTTTGTTAACAAATTTTATAAATTCCAAAGAAATATAAAAATGTTAAACTAATTTTATATTCAGTAATTTTGTTTTATTAAACAAGACTGAGTGTAGTGTGTAAAATTCTACGCAAAAATTTTATTCATGCAAATTTGAAAATCTATTTTTTATTTTCCCTTTAAATCTAACGTTCAAAAAGTAACAATGATATTGATATTTTTTAAAAAATTCAGAATCGTCAATTGAATTTGAAAATTATTAATATTTATATGGTGTAGGAACTCTTAAATCGACAATATGTTTCAATTTCAAAATGCTACTACTCAACATAGAGGCAAAATTTTCAAAATCTGACGGTAACTTTGTTTTTATAACAAGTTCTACGAAGTTACCGGTCAGATTTTGAAAATTTTGCTTTTATGTTGAGTAGTAGCATTTTAAAATTGAAACATATTGTCGCTTTAAGAGTTTCTGCACCATATCCTATTTACTAAATTAATCATTAACTGTCTAAAATAGCTAAATAAAAAGATACCTTTTGCTAACAAATAAACTGTATATAGTTTATCTGTTTTTACTTTGTTGAAAATTTAATACATACTTATTTCTAAAAAAAAATCATACATTTGAGGGTTTTTCTTACTAGCTTTTTAAATTTTTCAATAGTTTTGGGAAAGCATAAAAGATCACAATATCTTAAATGCAGAATATTTGATTATTTAAAACAGATACTTCAAATCGAAGAAATATTATGAGACTCAGAAATTTAGAATACATGTACTATGATTTAATACATGTATATTCACAGGTTGCCTTCCATTTTCATATTGTTTATTTCTTCTTTGATATTATGATACAACATTTACTCTAATAGCGAAAAGTAACTACGTAACAATAAAACAGGCAATACGTAATAAAAGAACATCTTCATGGGATTCATCATAAGCACAGATTAAAATAAACGCATCTTCATCAATCAAAACACAGTCAAACCTTTTCTGCGATTGCAATGATCTCATGACATAAAAAAACATGCCAGAAATAGATATGTCTAATGCCTGGTCCTAAGGGCTTGCAAAAATTCCATAAATCTCCACACACATGTGTGTCGGACATAGACTCCAATAAAAATAATTCTACCATGTTTGTCGTAATTCGAAATATTTGACCATCTAAATATATGCATAATCTAACTTAAAAGAAGACACCATACAAGCAGTGTTGTCAACCGGACCATACTGGACATAGTCCAATATTGCGTCACTGACCACCGAACTTAGTAATTTTATAAGTCCAATGTGGTCCAGTCCAGTAACTTCTGGTTACTGGACATAGTAAAGTGACAACGCTGCATACAAGTAATCCATAATAATAAATGTAGTTTTTGCTAAAATTTAATCAATTTCATCAGTTATCAATTCATGTCTGAAAATTACAGAGCAAAGTGAGCAGTAAATTTTTTGGCGGCCATTTTTGAGAGAAAAAGCAATAATTTTTTTATATCCATCCAATTTTAGTAATTAGCAAAACTTAAGTAAACTTCGGCGGCGTACGTAATCTATTTTCCTTTATTGAAGACGTGTCACTATGCTACCTTTTTATTATGTATTATTTTTCTTTAAATTACTTTATTCCTAGTGCCAAAACAAATTCTATGTTTATTTATTCGTTTAATAAAAGTGAATGAATTGTATAAGCTGACGTGTAAATCGCTGGTAGATGACCCGGCTAACTGACGATGAAACGAAAGAATACTTTAAAGCAAAAACAATTTATATATAGATGCTATGGTTGGTTCTATGCCTTAGATAAAGAAAAAACGAATTTGTCACTTTTGAACCCGATATCTCGACATTCGGTGATCCCATTCGAACAAAGATATCACCATTAGACTCTTCTCGACTATACGAATCTAATGGTGATATCTTTGTTCGAATGGGGTCACCGAATGTCGAGATATCGGGTTCCAAAGTGACAAATTCGTTTTTGAAATTTCCGGTAATATATTGTAGGGTGCGTACTAAAAAAAACCAAAAATGCAAAACTCTTACTTGCCTCGCCACACTCTTCCTCTGTTTCGCTATTAGCGCACTGCCAATCTCAAAAACGGCCAAGAAAACGGTCAACCAACATAGTCACAAATAACAGACAGAAAAGATACAGTGATACTAATCATAATGGTTTGTTAAAAACTGTATTCGCCGCTTCGAGACCGTGGTCGTCACAATATTAACAATTTTTCTGGGTTGAAGTAGAAATTTGTAATTTCATGATGTGACATCATAGCATATTCAAAAGGCTTATACATGTATTTTCGATTTCAGCAGCAATTGGATTACATATTCTATAAATTCAGATAAACATATACGTAGATGTACATGTATTATGTAATTATGATATACACTTGCATCGATTTTTTTATCACATCACGCGACCAAATAATTTAACAATAACAATACGTAACGGTAATAAAAAATTATTTCATTGATGCTTTCTCTTCCTGCGCACGATCCACTCATCATCAAATAGCGCAATATAATAATAAAATAAATAATGACAGACAGAGCACAATCTCATGATAAAGATTCCGGTAATAATGCTGCTACTAAGAGTGCTGCTAAATCCACTGCAACCATACACACCTCCATAAATTCTTTATTAACGACGACGACAACGGATGACAGCGATATCTCAGATCAAGAGTATGACAATAAATCAATCACTACCCCGCTTCTCGTACAAGAACAAGGAATAGAAGTCAACATCGACAACGGAACAAAAAATTTTTCCCAGGCAACACTCGGCCTTTTAAATCACCCATACCAGGAAACGAAAGCGTGGTTCCGGCGCAGATTTATTTTCGATGATCAGTTCTTGACTGATTATGCGTTGGCATTTGTGATGTGGTTCACGCTGCCTTTTTTGGTGGTGTTAGTGTGCACGTTTGTTGGATTGGCTATTATTAGTTGTATAAGTAATTGCTAATATTATACATGTATATTGATGTTATTATGACCGTAAATTATTATCATTATGCAAACTTACTCATTGTTATAATTTTCTCATATAGGTGGGATCTTATTCGCTATAATCAATGGACTAATTATCGTAGTATTTTTAGTGGTCCTGACATTATTGTTCCTGTTTGCCATTCTAGCAAGCTTTATTACCACATGCCTTATTACCTTGATACGCAAGTTATATGTCGGTGGTACTATTAGACATCCTTCTCCACCACCATCACCATCGCCAACACTGTTACCACAAATCAATGGTGTGGTAATTGAAGATAATATTGACGATGAGGAAAATGACGACGATGAGGACTCGACTAATAATAATGTTGATTCGGAACAGCAGCAGGTAACTACAAATACTAATACAAATAGTGCAAATAATGAAAATACGGACAACAGCATTATGATTATTGATGGTGCGGAAAGTTAGAGTTTTTGATTAAGTAAAGGTGATTTTGAGACACAGGAAATTATATAATCAATATTTTGAGTATTTGCAAATTAAAAAAATGCAGTATTAGTTATTTATTTATGCAGTTTATCATGTTTTTTTTTCTGGTTATTGAGTCATTGATACATGGCTTCAATTCTTAATATATTTCAATCAATCGAAATTACGTCGTATTTTGTTCTGTTTATGCTTATAAATTGGATATATAATGCATTTAGTTGTAAAAAAAACCAAATAGGGTTGCCTATACCAAATCAAAAATATTGATGCTGAATTGTTTTCAAAGATATTTTAACTAATCTCTTTTATATATGTACTTTTGTTTTCAAATACATTTGCAATCCAAAGTCATTTTTTTATTTAAGTTTATTATTTTATAAAAAATTTTATGTGAAATTAATATTCTAACTTTGTTAATATAGTTAACCCTCTTTATTATCAACCTCTTTAATATTAATACCTCTTTATTATTGCAAAACAAATTTCACTTGGACTAATATATTGATACTAATTCTAATCTTTGAGTTATCAACTCTCTTATATATCAACAAAAATGTCTGGTTCCATCATGTTAATAATAGAGAGGGTTAACTATATATTATTATAATTATTTATTTAATTAAAATAAACTTGAATAACTAGTTTATTAATTACTTGAAAATTAATTAATTAAGCGATTTTATTATTATTATATTTTTTATTATTAAATATTATTTTATAATAATCATCAAAAATAATACATCAACAAAAAAAATAATTAATAAAATATAAAAAATATAAGTTTTTTCTTTATATAAAAAGTTTTTAATTTACAAATAAATATTTTTTTATTTTTGTGTTAAAATAAAAATAATATTATATATTTTTTCAGATTTTTTAGATTTAAACTGATAAAATTATTTTAATTATATATATTAAATTAATAATTTTTTTATATTTTTATTATAAAAAATATTAAGTTTATATGTAATTATTAAATAAAATCTGAAAAATTATATATTAAAATAAAAAATATTGTTAGCAAAATTAAATATTTTATATAAAAAACTTATTTATTTCATATTTTTTAATTGTTTTTATTTGTTATTATATTATTTTCAATTATTATTATAAATTTTTATAATTTAATTATTTTTATTAAAAAATATTTAAAAAAATAAAATATTAAAATTATTTATAAAAATATAATAAATATAATTAAATATTCTCAATTTTGCTAATAAATATTTTAATTGTATAATAAAAAATATAATAATATTAAAATTTATTAACTAATTATATAAATATAGATTTTTTATATAAAGTTTCAATTTTTTTATTTTATATTAAAAAACAAATTTTTTAATAAAAAAATAAAATATATTAATTAATAAAATTAAAAAAATATTTATATGATTAATAAATTTTATATTTGATTAATAAATTTTAATATTATTATATTTTTATTATTATTATTATATAATAATTTAGTATATACAATATTATTAATAATATATAATAAAAATTGAAATTTATATTTTATATAAAATTTTTGATTTTATTAATAACTATTTTATATTAAAATAAAAAATAAAATTATATTTTAATATTTAATTTAACAAAGTTATTTTAATTATAAATTATTATAAAATTTTTTAATTAAAATGTAAAATTAATTTATAAGAATTAAATAATTTTATTTAATAAATTCAAAAATTAAAAAAAATATAACTATTATAATAAGTATAATATTGTAATAAATTATAATATTTTAGAATTTTATAATTAAAATTTAATAAATTTATTATTATTTGATATATTTTAATAAAATTTAGTAAATTTATTACTATTTGATATATTTTAATAAAAAAGTTCAAATAATACAAAAATATACAATTTCTATTATTAAATTATAAAATATTTAATTCACAGTAGTGTTTATAAGTATCTGAATATTACTAATTTTTATAGATCATGCATATTATTCTAAAAATTTCTAAAAACAAAGAATAATACAAATACTGTTCATTTATGTCTTTTAAAATTTCTATATTAATAATATTTTATATTTATAAACTTTCACACTCTAATATAATGAAATAGTTATTTTAGAATATAAAATCTTGATGTCTAGTAACCAGATTTAAGTGAAAATACTATTATTTGACTTATTTAGTTGAGATGAATCAAATAGTAGTATTTATATTCAAATTTGATCATTGATATTACATTCTAAAGGAACCATTTTATTTTTTGATAATTATAAAAAAATGAAACAGTTTCTTTAAGATATAATATCTTGACATCCAGTAATCAAATTTAAATACAAATATTATTATTTAATTCATTTTAACTAAATAAATCAAATGATAGTACTTTTGCTCAAATCTAATAACTAAATATCAAGATCTTATATCCTAAAGTAATTATTTTAATTTTGTTAATATTAAAAAAATAAATATCTCAATGATTAGTAATCAAATTTGAACAAAATATTCTCATTTTATTCGTTTTGACTAGACAAATCAAATGATATTATTTTTATTTAAATTTAATTACTGGATATTAATAATTAGATTATTAGATATTGAGATGTGTTTTGAAATTTGTAATATAAAATTTTAATGAATATAAAACATCTAATATAAAAATTTTATTAATTTTAAAAGAAATAGATGATTAACATTTATGTTATTCTTTGTTTTCAGAAATTTTTAGAATAATATGCATGATCTACAAAAAATTAGTAATATTCAGATACTTATAATTACTACTATGAATATTTTTTAAATTATAAAAATCAATTTTCAAATTATAATATTTAAATAAAAATTTTTATAATTCAAAATAAAATAATTTTTATATTATTCAAAAATTATTAATTATATTTATAATAATAATTAAAAATAAAATATAATAAAAATATAAAATATATTAATTTTTCTTTTTATATAAAAGTTTTTAATTTTATTAATAAATATTTTTTATTTTTATCTAAAAATAAAGATAATATTGTTACCATTCTACCTTTCATCAGTTATATCACGTTATATTTTAGCGCAGTAATGTTCATTT